GCCTGCTAACTGTAAGTCCACATATTTGACGATTGACTCCAACAGGAAGCAACTTTAAAAAACGTTTCAAACTTTAAAAACTAATAAAAACCAGGTGAGTTTTTGAGTTAGATCTCATTTGTGGCTCGAGATCTGGTTGCTATAGCTCTAACCTATATCTTTTGAATGCTGCTGCAGCCGTCTCTGGGGTTGTTCTGTTCCTTCCTCTAAAGAAACCCCTCAAACTATTAAGCGCCACTGAGATCTCGCATCTTCAGGAAGAAATCATATAGTTTTGTTTTTATCGTAACGACTTCAGCTGTTGACTTAGAGCCGCTCTGTTATGGCACAAATAGCAGCTACATTTATTTGGCTATCAACATTATCTATAGCAGAAGTACACAGCTATAACTCATCTATAATTATTGTTTTGATGCACTTTGTATTGTCTTCTTTGCGATTATACAAGTTACTCTGCTGCAGGTTTTAAAGTTAAAATGTTTAACAAATAATTCAACATTATCTATTTGTTCATAGAACATGTTTGAAATGTTGTATTGAGGTGGCTACTCTGTATTTCAGTTCCCCACGAAGAGGAAGCAGTTTGAAAAGAGCCGAGAGTTTGAATTTTTTTGAATTTTGAATTTTGAGTTATTAACCTGGTGATTGTGTGTTGTTGTAGTCTTAGCGGTTGTGTTGTAGTCCTAGTGGTTGTATAGTTAACCTGGTTTTTGTGTGTTGTAGACCTAGACACCCTCAAGTATGAACAGATGTGTGTTTGCTCTGAGGGAGGTCTCCTGGTTGCCATGACGTTGACAGACATTAGATTAAAGAGATCACGGCAACCGTCAGGTCTTCTACCCGAGGCAGACACGGCTTTGAACCAAGAGGCTTTTGAATCTAATCACTGACCCTCAACCTGACCTTAACCTATATGTTTCCATGTTAATGTATTTAATGTGTCTTTATTGAATTTTCTTGTGTGTCTGTGTGTTCAGAGTGTGCGTGGGTGTGGGGGGTGTATGTGTGTGTATTTGTGTGTGTGTGTGTGTGTTTGCGTGTGTGTCGGTGTGTGCATGTCCAGAGTGTCTCTGTGTGTTTATTTGCCAGTGTGCGTGTGTGTCTCTGTATAAGTGTATGCGTGTGTTCAGAGTGCTACAGTAGTGTGTGTGTATGCATGTATGCATGTGTGTTTATGTATAAGTGTATGTGTGTGTGTCTATTTGTGCGTTTCATCCATTTCCAGGAGACGTTTTAAATGCAACACTTATAACATAATATAAAAATCAACAAATCAAATACATAAATCAAAATAATATACATTTATGGTACATGGATGTATATTGTATGTGTAGGATTCATGGTCCAAACCAAGTGGATCAGGTGAAAATCCATTGGAGGAATGCTAACTTTTTGAAAAATGCTAATGAAGCATTTAGCATTTTACTTTGGACTGCAGCAGAGAAAATGGCCCGAACGAAGCGACTACTCCACCCTGTGACCCGTCCTGCTCCACTCAGAGGCTACTCCACCTCTGCTGCTGTGACCGTCCGGCTCCACCCAGAGGCTACTCCACCTCTGCTGCTGTGACCCGTCCTTCTCCACCCAAAAGCTACTCCACATCTGCTGCTGTGACCCGTCCTGCTCCACCCAGAGGCTACACCACCTCTGCTGCTGTGACCTGAAGCTGTTGCTGATTATTACTATTGTTTGCATTTGCATTTTCGAACCTGAATTTATCCAACGGGGAATAATAAAGTATCCATCTATCTATCTATCTATCTATCTACATTTATGGTACATTCTCCCACACTTGTCTCCTCCTCCTTCAGGTGCATCGTACTTTATATTAGATTAGTGAACTTTCTCCATTATAATATATTGATGCAGTTCTATCGGAGCGAGTGCACATGCATCTGTAATCATCTGTTAGCATTGATTTCTAATTTACTCACAACCAATCGGCATGTCTTCTCCTCCTAACGATTTCTCAAAATAACTCCCTCTCCAGACGCCTCCCGCACAAGCCGCTCTGGTCATGAATGATTAACAAACCATCAACATATCTTGGATTACATGTTTTTGTTTCACACAGAGCTCCTCCTCGGACAGAGTTTTCTTTCATAAATAATCAGATCTCTTTGTTTTTGAAAAATTATTTCAGGGATCAAAAGAGGAATGTGTCAGAAAGTGGTCCAATTCTGCTCTTACTATAGTTTTACAGCTGCAACAATAGTTATTAGCCTGAATATGTAAAAGTAAGTCTGAGTCCTATGGTCTAGAGCCTCAGTCCTGGGTCTACAGCCTCAGTCCATGAGTCCACAGCCTCAGTCCTGGATCTACAGCCTTAGTCCTGGATCTACAGCCTCAGTCCTGGGTCTACAATCTCAGTCCTGGGTCTAAAGCCTCAGCCCTGGGTTTTGCCTCAGTCCATGGGTCTACAGCCGCAGTCCTGGATCTAAAGCCGCAGTCCTGGGTCTACAGCCTCAGTCCTGGGTCTACAGCCTCAGTCCTGGATCCACAGCCTCAGTCCTGGGTCTACAGCCTCAGTCCTGGATCTACAGCCTCAGTCCTGGATCTACAGCCTTTTTACCATCTAAAAAACATTGCCAGGATCAAAAACATAGTGTCTAAAGCAGACTTGGAGATTCTTATCCATGCATTTGTCTCCAGTAGGTTAGACTACTGCAATGGCCTGCTCACAGTACATTACATCACAGTGCAGTACATTCAAAATGCAGCAGCTCGAGTCCTGACTAGAACCAGGAAGTATACGACCATATTAGTCCGGTCCTCAGGTCTCTGCACTGGCTTCCTGTGGCTCAGAGAATAGACTTTAAAACAGCTCTGCTTGTGTACAAGTCTCTCCATAGCCTCGCACCAAAATATATTAGTGACATTTTAGTCCCATATGAACCAGCCCGGACTCTGAGGAGCACAGGGACTGGACTCCTGTTAGTGCCCAGAGTCAGAACTAAACATGAGGAGGCTGCTTTTCAGATTCATGCTGCTAAAATCTGGAACAATCTTCCTGAAGATGTGAGACAGGCCTCCTCTCTGACAATGTTTAAAACCAGGTTAAAAACGGTGCTGTTTAGCTGTGCATACAACTGAGGGATTTTATGTTTTTATCTTTCTGTTTAATGTTCTGTGATTATTTATGATTTTAATGCTATCTTGTTCAGCACTTTGAGTTGCCTTGTGTATGAATTGTGCTATACAAATAAACTTGCCTTGCCTTGCCTTGCCTTACAGACTCAGTCCTGGAACTACAGCCTGTATCACTCCCAGGCTGTGATTTTCTGATCTGTGTTGGCGAATCGACAACTTTTTGCTGTTGGGCTGTACAAAAATAAATTGGACAGGACTTCAATTGAAATTAATTGAATTGAGAAGGTTTTTTAGTCCATAAACAAGCAATATGAATACAAAAAAGACTGACCAACACCTAGATATGTTTTTGTTTCCATTATATGTATGTATATATTTTTGACCTTGATGAAATATATTATGAGATAACCATTATTTGTCCCACGTACAGCAAGAACATTTCAGTAATTATTTCACATTCTAAAACACCTTTTAGTTATTCTTTGGTCATCAACAACAAAACAATAACAAATAAGGAAGGGTATCTTTTTTTTCAAATCCAGGTTTGAAAAAAACACTTTTATATACTGTGATTATGATTATTTCTATCTTGTTTTATGGAGTACTTTGAGTTGCCTTGTGTATAAACTGTGATATTTAAATATACTTGCCTGCCTATTGAGAATGAGGAGTCACGTGATAATTTGGGCGGGGTCTAATCCGGTCGGCCATGTTGATAGGATCCTCTATCGGTTGCCAGGGGCAACGCCACTAACGCTCGATATATACAGTCTATGCTAACGCTCCAGAGGTGTGTGTTAACTTGAGTGCGTTTATTATTTCGGCAGTAGATACATCTACGATTACAACACTAGCAAGACAGTTAATGGAGAAAGTGAAGGCGAAAGGAAATGGACCGTACAGGGAAAAGCTTCTACCTACGGCAAAACAACGTCATTTGGAGAAGCTCTCAGACATACAACAGGTAGACCCATACGAGCTTCCTGCAGCGGAGTGGCAAAAAGACCTTGACTTTTTGCCTCCGTGCACGTACATGGATGTAGTGAATTACCTTGTTTTCGGTGTTAGTTATTATACAATGCAGGAGTTTAGAAGTCACAAGTCACTGGAGAATTACGAGGCTTTCTGCTGTGGTTGGGTGCAGGACTTGGCCATCTACAAGCCTCCAGGCGGATGTTGTTTGTTCTTTTGCACTAATAACAGTATTATTATTACTTATGTTGTTTATGTTTACATGCTGGAAATATTTATACGTTGACTGCACACGTTCTTTTGCACTGTTAACTTTTCCAAGACATTACACCCCCCCCTCCAAAAAAATGTTAATTTCTCAATAAATATTGCTTTGCCACATGAAGTTGTTTCAAACATTTATTTCAAAGAAAATAAAAAGGCAAGGCAAGTTTATTTGTACAGCACAATTCATGTTACAAAACAATTCAAAGTACTTTAAATAAACAATTAAAAAGCATTACAGCTGGGTGCAGAAGAAGCATTAAAAAGTAACAGAATAAAAAGCATGATTTAAAATTAAAAACAAAAATTCATAAGAAAAAGATAACAAACAAGTAATTCCAGCTTAAAAGAAGCCGTGCAGATTTGTACATTAGAATACAAAAATATTCAAAAGCAGCTGAGAGCAGGTGGGTCTTTAACCTGGATGTTTCAGCTAATCTGAGGCTTTCTGGGAGTTTGTTCCAGACATGTGGAGCATAGAAGCTGAATGCAGCTTCTCCGTGTCTGGTTCTGACTCTGGACTCGGATCCAGATGACATGAGGAGTTCTGGTTGGTTCATAAGTTATGAACAAGGCACTCAAACAACACTTTTGCACATGTTCGTTAAGGCACAGCAAACAGTGACAATCTTATCTAAAGGCATTAGGTTTTCACCCTCACATTTGAGCAGCGTATGCACAGGTACAGTTGAGTGTAAGAATTTGAATTTGTTGCGCACAACACCAATCACCCTCTCAACGTGAATTCTGAGATGTGCAATGGCCCTAGTCTCCTCCACATCTAATGGACACAGCTGTGTGTACATCACACCAAGGGTATGGTGAAAGGCATCAGCGACTGTTGTCCGATGTACTCTAAACAGATGGCTGAGGTGCTGGATTGGAAGGTCTAATCTGAGGCGCATTAGAGTCAATAGGACAAGCTGGAAGGGTGAGAGCTTCCTCATCCTTCCTTGATGCAGATATGGAGTGAGGGTGAGTAAAAGTGTCTGGAACAAAGCAAAGTTTGGAAGCCCCGTGTAGTACTTCACTGTATTGTCATGACGACTCAGAAAGTTTTCATTCATCCGGTACTCATCAAGCTCCCGCTTCAGCTCTCTGTTTTCTTCTAGAAGATTGTTGATAACATCTTGTCTAGATGAGCAGAGTCCACATTCCATGTCCTGGGCTGGCGATGGGGGCTGCTGGGCTGGCGATGGGGGCTGCTGGGCCGGCGATGGGGGCTGCTGGGCCGGCGATGGGGGCTGCTGGGCTTGGGCTGGGAGTGATGACTACTCCAGATGCTGGGTCCTGCGCTTTACTTGCCGCTGATATCGCGCTCCATCTGTTTCTTTAACATTATTGTGGCCTAACCGCAAGGATGGTGTCCAGTCAGGGTGATTCTCCAACATCTCATATGATGGTTTACCTAGAACAGAATAATCTATGTAGTCAATGCTTTGAACTGGCAACATGGTAGCATAATGTCATGAACAGAATCTCAACTATTTTTAGCAATCTCATAATCTCATATAATGGTTTACTTACGTCAGATTAATAAGATTATTAAACAATCTGGAATCTAAAGAAATATTAAACAAGAAGGTAACGCTATTCATGGTTTCATAAAAGGGCTCAGGGGGTAGTGTCAACACAAGACAAAAAAAAAGTTTGGGCACCACTGGTTTAGAGAACATAAGAGACAGAGACAAACGCACTTTGAGTGCCCATAGTCCACCAACAAGGTAGGATAATGAGCAGAAACTTAAATATTCTTAGTTAACATTAATGGTTGGCCATTAAGCATTTTCATAGAGGCAACAGTTTGTTAACTGCTAGATAGTTAGCTAGGCAGCTAACTTAAGATGCACTTCAGTGTTTGCAACATTAACAGCTAGGTAACCTACACTTCTTAACTTTAAAAAAACAACATAAAGACATTTTAGGACGTACCCGAGTGAAAATGCAGAGAACACACTCTCATCGACTGGGGGGTGAGATCGAAAGTAAGGTCCTTTCTTCTTATTGCAGCCAACCAAGCCATCCGGCGTCTCTTCGTCAGGTCAGACACTTGCGCTCCCTGATGTTGTATCCATTTTGGTAGCCTAAAAAATTGTAAACCGTTGTTCCTACGTTTTCCTTTCTTATTGTGTGAGGTACTGGAGCAGTTTTTAACACAGCAATGAGCTCCAGGCATGGTAAAACAGAAATAGCGATGACCTCCTTTGCTCCCGAGTTAACTACAACGGTTTGCCGCTGGGTTCCTACCATCATGGCGGAGACGGGGAGGGTCCTGCGCCATCGAGGGGAGGGGCTCTGTGCTATGACGACAACTCCTCACTCTCAATATTTCCCATAAATAATGAATTGTTTCCTATTGTCCCAATAGAGTTTTGTAAAAGCAAAATGTTCCATCATGCTGTCTTTATCCTACTGAAAAACATAAGATTTCACATACTTTCAAAAAGAGGGAGTCACTATTTGACTCTTTGGGCTGAGAGCTGTTTGGCTGAGTGAGGGTGGTCCTCTATTTGCTATTTTTCTGTCTGAAAAAGCTGCAAAAAGCATGTGAAAAGTAGAGATACTGAGAAGTTATTAGATGGCTTTTATAATAGTTCCCTTTTAGTAATGACGTGCGTGTGTGTGTGTGTGTGTGTTGTGTGTGCGTGTTTGTGTTTACGTATAATCTTATTGCATTATGTCCAAACTTACGGTATCTTGATGCGCATTTATATTTAATCTTACGGTAAAAACGCCTGAAAGAAGTTGAATATATGTTATGCCAAAAAATTAATTAATGTTGTACGATTCAATATGCACACATATATCATAATCCCATAACGTCTTAAATTAATAAAAATAATTTAGAAAATACTTGATGACGTGTACGTCGGTCCTTCTCACTTCCGGGTTCGGGTAAACACATCCCTGTGGAGTCGGCTCGTGTCAAAAATGTGAGTTTTTGCTTTGATTCCAACATATTTTCATCGCGTTTCTTCCCGTTTTGAAACAAGAACACATGTGCTCGTCTTTACGCTGTTTATTCTCCTTTTGTCAGGTCCAAAGTAACGTTTAAAATCACGCTAACCTCGGACCCCAGGCTGCCATTCAAAGTGTGAGTAAAGCGACAGACACAAGCTAATCCACCTTTAACAGCACAGTATACACTCTACATTCCCTACATTTACGTTGTACTTTTTTTGCACCTTTCTTGTCTGAAATTCAACAAAGAAATCCATGTCGTCTCTTCCAAAACACATCTAGTCCCAGTGTATGTATTCACAGATGGGAAGGATGGAGGATTTACATGTGGTACTTGCTTTAGCTCTGAATTAAGTTATTTTTTAAGATAGTTATTTTTGCCAACGATTTGCTGTATCTGATTTGGCTTTGTAATATAGACAAAAAATGTAAATAAAAGCTTCCGTCACTCCTAATAGCTACACTGGTTTACCATATGTTGTGGATTAAAGCTGGGGTACCTGACTATTCCCTTCCTTAGTTGACAGATGTTGTTCGTTGACAACAGAAAATCATTTGTAAAAGTGAAATGCTGTGAAGTCAGAACACAACACTCCGTCATCATCTTATTAGATAACGTATGATTTTTTTTTTACTTACAGCAAGAGCCCTGTCACTATATTGCTTTGAGCTGATTGGCTGAGAAAGCTGATCTAAAGATGTGACAGAGGCAAAACTAGTGATTGAACCTAACTGTATTGAGAGGGAGGGACTAGTTACATGGATTTTTTATAATAGAATGTTTGAAGTCTTGTCTTAAAACCCACTGTTACTCTCTGGCTTCTAACATCACGAGAGTTGTGTGGGCCTTCAATGATTTATTTTTATTTTTTATGCATAATATATATATATATATATTTGTTTTTATTATGTTTTATAAAATGTGCTAAATACAGTGGGTTGGATTGGGTAATAGTTTCATTGTTGTGGTTTGAAAGATACGTTCCCAGCTATAACACTGCTAACAGAAGCATTGATTCATTCATATTTTTTTACGGCTGCACCCATTTAGCTTTCACCATAGTCTATACTGTTTGTGTTTGCTCTTAACCCTCGACTGTCTGCTGTTTTAAGTGAGTAAGTGTTCATGTGGATTACTTACTTACTGTTTTGTAATATAGTTCTGTCATTTGCCAACATACAATATGCGTAATATAATTCTACCATTTACCAACAAATAACTCAAAGCTGTCGCCATGTTTAAGTTTAAGAAGTGTAATTACTGTGCATGTTCCTATAAGACAAGATGAGAGATCCATCCATCCATCCATCCATTTTCTTCCCCTTAATCCATTTCTGGGTCGGGGGGGGTGGCAGTCAGAGCTGCACCCAGTCACAGAGCACCAGCCCCTCACTGATCCTCCTGCAGGTGGTGAGTCCACATGAGCTGAGATCTTTCAGTGGGATGGGAAGATGAGAGATCCTTTGTTAAAATATACAAAATAAGTGGCTGGTTTCTTAGCTAGCTGTAAATAACAGTCCATATGGTCTTCTGTTTTTCTATGTCTTATTTTAGAAGTTTTATCTTTAAAAAATAAAATTTTGCCACTTTTGGTAAACAACATTCTGTGGCTGTTAAATGTTGCGTCTGGTCCTTGTGTAGGAGGCGCTCTACAAATAAAAGTTGATTGATTGAAGATGAAGAAATCAACACACATAACATTCACATACGTTTTCACACACTCACAGCAGACCAGGATACGGACAGACACAGAGAGAGGCCAGTGAGTTTGGAAGTGAACCTCATCAAAGCATTCATCTGTTCACAATAATTAAAAATATAATATTAAAAAATCCATACATCAATGTTCTTTTTTGGGATTGCCACCAAGTCACAGAGCACCAGCACCTCCCTGATCCTCCTGCAGGTGCTGAGTCCACAGGAGGCCGCTCTGTCAGTGTCAGCCTTGATCTTTCAGCGAGGGCTTCAGGCAAAGTGGGGTTAAGTGTCTTTCCCAAGGACGGCAGACATCAGTGGGAATTAGGGGTGCGTACCTCACGATACGATACGATGTGTGATACAAAGCTCACGATAACGATTATCTCATGATATGACGGTGCAGCGATTATCGACATATTGGTAAAAAATATACCTATGATCAAATTTTTCTTATATTTATGGCGTGAATTAAGTGAAAAAATACACTTTATTTCAAGATAAATGGATAAAGTGTCATGTGTAACATTAAAGTGAACAAGCAAAAATGCCTTTTAACTGCACATTTAACTGCACATGTTCCAGCTTCTTCCCTCTGGTAGAAGATATCGCTCTCTGAGATGCAGGACATCTCGTTACGCTAACAGTTTTTATCCACAAGCTGTTATCAGTGTGAACAGAGCACTTTAATGATTTGCACTTGTTTTGAACTGTTTTAGTCGATCGATTTCACAGTGACTTTTGTTTACTGTTTTATTTGTTTTATTTTTGTCTTTTAATGTTGTTTTATGTCTGTATTTGTCTGTGCACACTGGAGACTTTTCGCTAATGTATTCCAATGTGGTTTTTTTACTGCAAATGGCAAATAAACTGAATCTGAATCTGAGTAAAAATCTTACTGTCTCACATTCAATAACATCAATGTGAACATTCTACAGAAATTGTAGAATGCGTAATGTAGTCAAATATCAAGTATCAATACTTTTTTTTTTTTTTCAAATTTGTATTTTTATTTTATTTTTATAAATCAATACTTAGCAAAAGCATATCGATTGCGTGAGAAAGTATCACGATGTATCACGATACATCACCATATCAATATATTGTCACACTCCTAGTGGGAATCGGTGGAGAAAGTCTCATTATGGGCTCGAACCCACAACCTTCAGTCTCTAAGGCCATTGCTCTACCAACTGAGCCACTGTTGCCCCGTATGAATTGTCTTCACACATGTACTTATTATAATCCATATTTAATAATGAAATAATCTGTAAAGAACTTTTGCCATATTGAAGGTATCCAGGAGGATTTTCTACTTCCGGGTGGATCATCAAGACTATTGGTCCTCCTAACTGTCAATCATTCTGGTGATTTGTCAAATAAGACCAGAGAGTTTTGCTCAAAAAGTGGAGAAGGCAATTCATCCCTAAAATTTTTCCCTAAAACACACTAAGATAACATTGAATTTCTCCAGATTTCTAATACAATGTAATCTAATACACACACATTTCTGTTACATTTGAACTGACGTATCTTACACAATCTGTTTTTCCAATTAAATTGAAATGGTAACTGATGAGGAGCCGGTTTCCTCCAGATGCTGTTGTTGCTTTGCTGTTTCTGAGTCTTGTTTCTGCTTCAGTGACTGTGGTCATGTGAAAACCTGAGTCTGTCCTCAGAGACTGCAGTCTGTGATGTCAGGACTAAACTCTGTCCATGAACCGAGAAACGAAGAGTAAATGAGCAATGTTAGTCTCTGGCAGAAGAGACCGAGCACTTTATAAGAACGTTCAGTCAGAGCCGTTCAGTTGCATTTAAACAGATTTTGGAAAAGTTATTCGGCGGATTCTTTATTTCTGATTTGCTGCCAACGTGAATAAAACAAAACCAGAGAAAATTATGTCGCTGGTTTGAACAGGCCTCGTCTCTTTGAGGATGTCTCACAAGAATAAATCCAGTTCATATCTTTTAATCCCACCACAGTTCCTCAGAATGTGGAGCCTATTCTGCCGAGATTATTGAGGTTGAAAAAAGTGGAATAGTAATTGTAAAGTTACCTTTGGACAGTTTTACATTTTTCCTGTCAACCATCATGTGGTCAGCGCTTATGTTAAATCAAAAACTAAACTGTACTAATATAATATAACTATAACTAATATAACTAAACTGTACTAATATGTTACATTTGGGTCAATGACACAAAAAAGTCCCAAAATGTCTGTGGCATGTTTCCTGCTGTTTTTCTGAAGTATTTTAGCGCCTCATACACTTTTACTGGTTTCCACGGCTTGAGGCAACAGGTAGTAGCTATGTGATGCCATGGTCATTAACTAACCATTTAATAAGCTATACAAGCACAATGTATTATTATTATTATGACTATTAATATTATGCCATTGTTGCATTGATCTCACTTTTGGCAGCTCGACTTCTGCCGTTTGTATTTTGTTTTGCTCTTTTATGGATGAGTCTTTGGGGAGTACTTTTCATCCTGGCGGACCTCTGTACCCTCTCTGTGTGTGTGTGTCTGTATATGTGTGTGTCACCATTTGTGGACTAAACGCTCTCGCATCCTCCCAGACAGAAATGATATTCCCCTGGCTAAAGCCCCAGGAGAGATCGACCCTTTTGACACGTTTGGCTGAAGATGCAGGAGTAGAATCCACTTTAGTTCAGATGCATTAATGCAGTATCATTGTTGTGTCTTTGTGATAATAAGGGAGAAGCTAGAGCAAAGTCATTAGTCTCTCTTTGATGTGTTGTGTTTTGTGTTGCAGGTTGAGTGTCCCAGAGAGCACACCGTTCACAGCTGTGTTGAAATTTGCGGCTGAAGAGGTGACTTTATATCACGTTTTTTTCATTTTTAATTTCATTTCCTCATCATTGATAAATGTATAAATTATTGCATTCTCGAGAGAGAGAGACCAGAGAGTGGGAGAGACCAGAGAGTGGGAGAGACCAGAGAGTGGGAGAGACCAGAGAGTGGGAGAGACCAGAGAGTGGGAGAGACCAGAGAGTGGGAGAGACCAGAGAGTGGGAGAGACCAGAGAGTGGGAGAGACCAGAGAGTGGGAGAGACCAGAGAGTGGGAGAGACCAGAGAGTGGGAGAGACCAGAGAGTGGGAGAGACCAGAGAGTGGGAGAGACCAGAGAGTGGGAGAGACCAGAGAGTGGGAGAGACCAGAGAGTGGGAGAGACCAGAGAGTGGGAGAGACCAGAGAGTGGGAGAGACCAGAGAGTGGGAGAGACCAGAGAGTGGGAGAGACAGAGAGTGGGAGGACCAGAGAGTGGGAGAGACCAGAGAGTGGGAGAGACCAGAGAGTGGGAGAGACCAGAGAGTGGGAGAGACCAGAGAGTGGGAGAGACCAGAGAGTGGGAGAGACCAGAGAGTGGGAGAGACCAGAGAGTGGGAGAGACCAGAGAGAGGGAGAGACCAGAGAGCGGGGGAGACTGAGACAACAACGTGTTTTTAATTATACCATTCGATCATTCCAAATTTTAAAGATCAACTAAACACCAGTGCCCACCCTGACTCCGCCCACATGAACTTAGAGTTGGGCGTGGTCTGGGCTGTGATTGACAGCTCCCTTGTCATTCAAAAAGCAAAGACAGACAGTTTTCATTGCTGCTCAAAGTAATAGTTTACACCAGAAAGTTTCATTCCATCCTTGTTTACACATTAAAGGAATAGTTCACCGTTTTTACATACTGACATATGTTCTTACCTTACCTTAGACTAGTTAATACGTACCTGTGTGATCTTAGTCCGTGCGCTCTGTCATGCAAACGGAGCAAAAACGGGAGGACAAATGCAGCCTCCTCTGTATACTGTGTAGCACCAAAAGGTAGCTCCCGCTAGAAGCTACCAAACTCTTCCAAGTGTTCCCTATTAAATGTATATAGTTACGTGACGTGTTACACTGCAAAGTATAGTAACACAGAAATGTAACTGTCGATTTTCTCAGCGGATAAAACGGGTACTATATTGTGAGGCGTAGTAATCTGAGGTGCGCTACGTCCGCGCACTAACTTCTGTCCGGAGACTTCTCTCTCGCTCACTTCAGTCAATAGAAGCAGCGTGACTTGTAGTACGGAGAGAAGTTAGTGCGCGGACGTAGCGCTCCTCAGATTACTACGCCTCACAATATAGTACCCGTTTTATCCGCTGAGAAAATCGACAGTTACATTTCTGTGTTACTATACTTTGCAGTGTAACACGTCACGTAACTATATACATTTAATAGGGAACACTTGGAAGAGTTTGGTAGCTTCTAGCGGGAGCTACCTTTTGGTGCTACACAGTATACAGAGGAGGCTGCATTTGTCCTCCCGTTTTTGCTCCGTTTGCATGACAGAGCGCACGGACTAAGATCACACAGGTACGTATTAACTAGTCTAAGGTAAGGTAAGAACATATGTCAGTATGTAAAAACGGTGAACTATTCCTTTAAGATAATTGTATAGCAGTAGTGGCGGTCAGTGGATGTAATTTAATTTCAATCCACTAGATGTTGCCAGAATACTCCAACTCGCTACTGAGCATGTGTGAGAGTTTGCTGCTTTTATACCACAGGCACAAAGTGATGTCACACAGCACTCCAAAGCCAATGGAAAGGCCAGGCACCACAATTCAAATGTAGTGCCACCAAAAATGCAGAGAGGGCGCCACACACACGGTTTTAGGCTCAAACGTGAGATTTGATCTAATTTGCACTAAAATGTTTTAAAAAATGATCAGGACATGTAGAGAGCACTATAAGAAACAAATGTATGTAGTTTATGAGTTAAAGAAAGTGGATTTTGTGTTTAGTTGTTTTTAAGTCCATTCACTGCTATACAGATGGATTTTAAAGTACATTCCTAATAGAAATTCACCCGTCTTGAAACTCTCAGCTCTACGCAGTGATAGAGAGCCCTAGTTACAGCCTCATGGTAACGGTCTCATCCTGGTCTCTGTATCCACTGTACTGTAGCAGTGATTTAGCTTATCTCCAGAGACAGACAGCTCCTCTGCCTCAGCTCTGTGTGGATACATCTGCACCAGAGGGAGACCGGAGAGAGACCAGAAATGGAGGCCAGAAAGCGAGAGACAAAATATCCTCTTTCCCTTACAAATATTCTATTCTATTCTATAAGTCTGACAATAAAGACCAAATCCAAATGAAAACGCCAGGATCATAGAAGCGGTGACTGTGACACGGATAGAGCCAGAGGAGTTTACTTTTACATGTGTCAGGAGGAGCCGGAGAAAGTCGGAGCAAAACTTTCTCCATGAGCACAAACAAATTAGCATTGTCCATCTGCATACAGTCTGTGGATGAAACACTAAAACAACCAGATGTATTAAATGGACGTGTTGTTTTAGTCTTTTTAGTCTGAATCTAATCTGAATATTGCATGTCATGTCATTCTCTTATCCTCGCTAAAACAAGGAAAGGTCAAAACTAAAAAACTTGAAGCATTATAGTCTGTCTGTTTCCAGTGACAGCCGAGAGTGAGAACAAAGACCTCAAACCAAAGCTGCTTTTCTCAGTTAAAACACTCTCTCTGCTTGAATGTCATATTTTCAGAAGTCATTTCAGTCAGAGGCATAATGTCCTCTGGCAAACTGCGATTAAAAAGCTCCGTGTACCAAAATGCTCTGTGGCTTTGAACCAATTAACATGTTTTCTTTTGTTACAGTTCAAAGTGCCGGCAGCGACCAGCGCCATTATCACCAACGGTTTGTTCAATTCCACTGTTTACTCTGTTACTGCGACTACGGCCCTTATATATATATATATATATATATATATATATATATATATATATATATATATATATATATATATATATAATCTCTGTCTCTCTCTCTGGTCTCTCTCTCTGGTCTCTCTCAGATCTGTCTCTCTCTGGTCTCTCTCTGGTCTGTTTCTCTCTCTCTGGGCTCTCTCTGGTCTCTGGTTTCTCTCTGGTCTCTGGTTTCTCTCTGGTCTCTCTGGACTGTCTCTCTGGTTTCTCACTGGTCTCTCTCTCTGGTCTCTCTCTCTGGTCTCTCTCAGATCTGTCTCTCTGGTTTCTCTCTGGTCTCTCTCTGGTCTCTGGTCTCGCTCTCTCTGGTCTCTCTGGTTTCTCTCTCTGGTCTCTCTCAGATCTGTCTCTCTGGTCTCTCTCTGGTCTGTTTCTCTCTCTCTGGGCTCTCTCTGGTCTCTGGTTTCTCTCTGGTCTCTGGTTTCTCTCTGGTCTCTCTGGACTGTCTCTCTGGTTTCTCACTGGTCTCTCTCTCTGGTCTCTCTCAGATCTGTCTCTCTGGTTTCTCTCTGGTCTCTCTCTGGTCTCTGGTCTCGCTCTCTCTGGTCTCTCTGGTTTCTCTCTCTGGTCTGTCTCTCTGGTTTCTCTCTGGTCTCTCTCTCTCTGGTCTCTCTGGACTGTCTCTCTGGTTTCTCACTGGTCTCTCTCTGGTCTGTCTCTGGTTTCTCACTGGTCTCTCTCTGGTCTCTTTCTGGGCTCTATCTGGGCTCTATCTGGGCTCTTTCTAGTCTCTCTCTGGTCTCTCTCTGTTCTCTCTCTCTGGGTTCTCTCTGGTCTCTCTCTTTGGTCTCTCTGGACTGTCTCTCTGGTCTCTCTCTGGTTTCTCTCTGGTCTCTCTTTGGTCTCTCTCTTATCTGTCTCTCTCTCTCTCTGGTCCTTCCTTCTTGTCTCTCTCTATTTGATCTCTTTCTGGTTTCTCTCTGTCTGAGAGAGACTCATTCTGGGTGTCCCTCTAACTAAAATGTTTGGACACCCCTGCTCCATGCTAACACGCTAACATCGTCCACTGTTGTTTTACGAGGCAGAAAACCAGTGTGTCGAGCAGAGAAAATTAAAGTCCTCTGGTCATACATTATACATAACGCTGTGTCTCGTTCAATAACTGTAAGAAATGATGCTGAAATAACAAACCGCCATAACATAATGCTTCATATAAATTCAAGTGGAACCGTTTGTGAGCACCGTGAAAACCAGCAAATCAAATGGATGTGGTTCTAGGAGACGGTCGAGACTCGGGGGGGAAATTGACTTTTTATTTTTCCCGTTTCTCATCAATTAAAGCGGCTGAAAAACACAGCGTTTGTTTACAGCTGCTCTGCTCCGACACGGAAGAATCCCGCCTTTATCAGTTGCAACTTTATCAGTTGGAACACAGGAAATGCAATGATAACAATGACCTAGGAGCTGTTGGTTCATAGGGAGGGGAATGACTGAGGCTGTAGACCCAGGACTGACGCTGTAGACCCAGGACTGAGGCTGTAGACCCAGGACTGAGGCTGTAGACCCAGGACTGAGGCTGTAGACCCAGGACTGAGGCTGTAGACCCAGGACTGAGGCTGTTGACACAGGACTGAGGCTGTTGACACAGGACTGAGGCTGTTGACACAGGACTGAGGCTTTAGACACAGGACTGAGGCTTTAGACCCAGGACTGAGGCTGTAGATCCAGGACTGAGGCTGTAGATCCAGGACTGAGGCTGTAGATCCAGGACTGAGGCTGTAGATCCAGGACTGAGGCTGTAGATCCAGGACTGAGGCTGTAGATCCAGGACTGAGGCTGTAGATCCAGGACTGAGGCTGTAGATCCAGGACTGAGGCTGTAGATCCAGGACCGAGGCTGTAGACCCAGGACCGAGGCTGTAGTCCCAGGACCGAGGCAATAGATCCATGAAGGAGGCTGTAGACCCAGGACTGAGGCCGCTTTCATTTCCACCTGGATCTGTTTTAAAGGCAGATTTTCTTACATATTCTCTCTTTAACGCCAAATCATGCATACATTTTTTTTTTTTCAACGACAACAACATAGAATCACTTTATACTTATATACTTGTGAATAGGTACTGTTGACTGTTTCTGCTGGGTACGGTCTAACTACCGTCTTCTCATTTCCATTACAAACATGTTTTTGATCTTTGCAGATGGAATTGGAATAAACCCAGCACAGATGGCAGGTAAGAAGATGCTTTTATTAAAACTACACAATTTTTTCACACACACTTCATCAAAACACATCTTATTTCTGCAGTTTGATGATTGTAACGAGCCCGAGAGCTTTTTAGTCCTGTCTTTGTGGCTTAAGTAAGAGTCAAAGTAGCTGTGAAATGGATTTAGATTCAGGTTCTTTTGTGTTTGAAGAATCAATGCAGCCTCTAAAAGTAAAAACAATTCTGCGTTTCATAAAAAGAAAAGGAGAATGTTACCTAAAAGTATTTTTGAGACGTTTCTGAGAGAGCAGAGAACAGAGAGAAGAGTGCTTTCAGCTCTGGCTCTAATTAGAGGAAAAAATATTTTTTAGACTTTAACCAGGTTTTCACCATTGTTCCCCCCTCAAAAGGTGTTGATTTGCCGGTGCTGAGGCTGTAGACCCAGGACTGAGGCTGTAGATCCCGGACTGAGGCTGTAGATCCAGGACTGAGGCTGTAGACCCGGGACTGAGGCTGTAGACCCGGGACTGAGGCTGTAGACCCGGGACTGAGGCTGTAGACCCGGGACTTAGGCTGTAGACCCGGGACTGAGGCTGTAGACCCAGGACTGAGGCTGTAGACCCAGGACTAAAGCCTAGTGTATAGTCGTGCGGAGCTTACGTTGGTGACGTGACTTGCGTGGATCACCTCAAGGCCCTTATGTCGCCTGCCGCGTACACCCCCGAAAATGTCTAACTACGTAAGGGTTGCCATTAGGAAGCTCCGCTGTGATTGGTCCGTGTGTGTGTTTTGGACAGAAGCATGGAGCGGCTGCAGGAGCATGGACCAGGCACTTCGGAGCAAATCTGCTTCGTGCTTTGAAGGAACCTAAGGAAAAGTAGTTTGGGTCCATGGCTCAGAGCCTGATTGGACGAGAGTTCAGTTGCATATCCAACTTATATAACTTATAAACTGTGCAGTCGTTTGTTTTGCACTGTTCCTGTCTTTGTTTGAATCTGCATTCGTAGTTTATCGCGTCTGTTGCATTCCTCCGCACTTGTAAATAGTTCATGTTTGTCTCCGATATTTACCACTTATTGTTTTGCTGTTTGTGCTGAATATAATTCAATAATAACTATGTTTCCAACAATAAGTGTGTCTTTATTCACAACATCACAGTTAAATGAGTTGAAGGCAAGGCAAGGCAAGGCAAGGCAAGGCAAGGCAAGGCAAGTTTATTTGTATAGCACAATTCATACACAAGGCAACTCAAAGTGCTGAACAAGATAGCATTAAAATCATAAATAATTACAGAACATTAAAACGAAAGATAAAAATATAAAATCCCTCAGTTGTATGCACAGCTAAACAGCACCGTTTTTAACCTGGTTTTAAACATTGTCAGAGAGGAGGCCTGTCTCACATCTTCAGGAAGATTGTTCCAGATTTTAGCAGCATGAATCTGAAAAGCAGCCTCCCCATGTTTAGTTCTGACTCTGGGCACTAACAGGAGTCCAGTCCCTGTGCTCCTCAGAGTCCGGGCTGGTTCATATGGGACTAACATGTCACTAATATATTTTGGTGCGAGGCCATGGAGAGATTTGTACACAAGCAGAGCTGTTTTAAAGTCTATTCTCTGAGCCACAGGAAGCCAGTGCAGGGACCTGAGGACCGGACTAATGTGGTCGTACTTCCTGGTTCTAGTCAGGACTCGAGCTGCTGCATTTTGAATGTACTGCAGCTGTTTTACAGCCTGTTTGGACAGACCTGTGAGCAGGCCATTGCAGTAGTCTAACCTACTGGAGACAAATGCATGGATAAGAATCTCCAAGTCTGCTTTAGACACTATGTTTTTGATCCTGGCAATGTTTTTTAGATGGTAAAAAGCTGCTGATGTTACTGATTTGATGTGGCTATTAAAATTTAAGTCTGAGTCCAGTATTACCCCTAGATTTCTGACCTTGTTAGAAGGTTTTAGGGAGAGAGACTGTAGGTGACAGATGACGCTCTCTCTTTGTTTCTGGGGACCAAAGACAATCATTTCAGTTTTGTCTGCGTTTAGCTGAAGGAAGTTGTTTTGCATCCACTCACTGATCTGTTGGATACAGTGAAGGAGTGAGTCCACTGGTCCATGTTCTCCTGCAGTCAGTGAGACATAGATCTGAGTGTCGTCTGCATAGTTATGATAGGAAACTTTGTTTCTGCGTATTAACTGACCTAACGGCAGCATGTAGAGATTGAACAGAAGAGGTCCCAGGATCGACCCCTGTGGTACTCCACAGGTCAGGGCCATATGATCTGAGACACAGTTTCCAATCTCCACAAAGTACTTCCTGTCTTCAAGGTAAGACCTAAACCAACTTAGGGCGGTGCCAGCGACGCCAACCCAGTCCTCTAGTCTCTGTAAGAGGATCTCATGGTCGACAGTATCAAAGGCAGCACTTAGATCTAACAGGATTAGGATTGAGACTTTGCCTGCGTCAGTGTTCAGCCGGATATCGTTTGTAACCTTAACGAGAGCAGTCTCAGTGCTGTGGTGGGGTCTAAAGCCGGACTGAAACATATCAAATGAGTTGTTGATTATAAGAAATCTAGTAAGCTGTAGGTAGACAACTTTCTCAAGGACTTTCCCCATAAATGGCAGATTTGAGATGGGACGATAGTTGTTAAGTACCGTAGCATCCAGACTGCTCTTTTTTAGCAGGGGCCTGATGACTGCAGTTTTCAGGGCCTTTGGGAATATTCCAGAATCAAGGGACATGTTTACTATCTGTGTGAGTGAAGGTAACAGACTGCTCAGAACAGACTTTAGAAATCTAGTGGGTAGTACATCCAGGCTGCATGTGGAGGAGCTCAAACTGGAGATTATCTCTTGGACAGTTTGATCATTTACAGGTGCAAAGTAAGTTAGCTCAAAGAGCCTTTCTGGCTGTTGGATTGTTATCTGTGGATTGGAGACAATGGCGTTTTTGATGCCTTGAACCTTGTCATTGAAAAAATGTGCAAACTCATTACATTTACGTTTGGAAGTTAGCTCTAATGGCATTTGAACAGGGGGGTTTGTTAATCTATTAACTGTTGAAAACAGAACACGCAGATTGTTGCTGCAGCCTTCAATCATTTCAGAAAAATACCTTTCTCTTGTACTACGTAGCACCTGGTTAAACTCGCACAACTTATCTTTGAAGATCTTGTAATCAACCTGGAGGTTGGACTTGCGCCACTTCCGCTCGGCCCTCCGGCACTCTCTCTTTTGTGCTCTGACCGAGTCTGCTTTAGCCCACGGCGCCTTCTGCTTATTTTTCACTATTTTAACCTTCACAGGAGCGATGGTGTCCAGAACTTTCAAAACACTAGAGGTGACAGAGTTAAACAGTTCATCTACAGTAGAATACGATGCATTCTCAAAGTTTATCATTCCCATAAATAGTTCACCCGTATTTTCATTTATGTGTCTTCTTCGTACAGTTGCAGAGTCCACTGGTGGTTTGTTAGTGAAACACATGTCAAAAAATATACAAAAATGATCCGAAAGCGCAACATCGACCACGTTTACATTATATATGTTCGCCCCCTTTGTAACTAACAGGTCTAGAGTGTGCCCTTTGCTGTGGGTGGGGCCACTCACATGCTGAGTGAGACCAAAAGATTCAAGAAGAGAACTCAGCTCTTTAGCATTTCTGTCATCAACATTATCCACATGAATATTAAAATCACCTGTAATAACTAAACTATCAAAATCTGTGCATACAACTGAAAGCAACTCTGTAAAATTATCAATAAAACTGTGACATGACTGCGGTGGCTTGTATAGGACAACGAAAAGTATTGGAGGAGATTGTTTTTGTTGTATTTTAAAAGACACATATTCAAAAGACGGAAACTTCCCAAGAGACATTCTATGGGAGACAAAGTGGTCTCTGAAAATGGCAGCTAAGCCTCCTCCTTTTTTGTTTTCCCGTATTTCAGATTCAAATTTGAAATTTGGTGGTGATGCTTCTATTAAAACTGCATTTTCTGTATTTTGGTCAAGCCATGTTTCAGCCATGAACATAAGATCTAGATTATAAGAACAAATAAAATTATTGATTAAAAAAGACTTGTTACAAAGAGATCTGACATTTAGCATAGCAAGTTTCAAAGTTTCAGGATCAGCGGTTGTGGTCGGCTGATTCTTACACGGAACAAGAATTAGATTTTCCTGATTAGACTGATTAACTCCAGATGTTTTTCTGTTATGTATTCTTTGTGTTATCACTAAGGGAATGGCACAGGTGGCTTCACGACAGGGCCCCAGCCGGGTCTCTCCTCTAACTAGACTGCCAGTGGCTGCGAAGCAGAGACCCTGTGCATCCTAGTGTTTAGAGAAAAGAGGGGTAGGGGAAGGCGGGGGAGGAGGATGGAGAGGCGGGTGGTTCTTGGGAGTTGGACGGGGAGGGGTTGAAGGTGGATGGGTTTTTGGTGATGGGTTAGGGGAGGGGCAGGCTGAGTTGGGTGGTGGACGAGGGGGGAGTGGAGGTGGAGGGTTTCTTGGTGCTGAGTTAGGGGGGGGGGAGGGGGGCTAAATGAGCAGGAGGGGGGGGTGGAATACTTATGGGGTTAGAGGAGGGACGGGTGGATTTTGTGGGAGAATTTGAGTTGGACGCCCTAGGTGGCTTTGGAGGTACGTATGGGGAGTAGTTTTGAATGTTAGATAGGACTCTTGATCTGGCTACAGTGGGTGTGAGAGGAATAGTCTTCATCGCCGATCTTATCATGCCTGCAGAGTGTTCTGGTAAATCCAGTAGTGAAGGCGGGGATAGAAAACAAAGGGAAAGGTCGTCCTCATTTTCCCTAGATGGAGTGGATGTAGCGGGGGGGACCCAAGCCGGGTCCATGGAAGGTGATGAGGGAGTCTTTGGTGGAGACAGAGGTGGTTGAGGAACCCCCAGTACAGGCCTGACTGTAGCCTGGAGTAATGGGGGAAGCTTCACGGGAGCTGTAGGTGGGGAAGGTGCTGCTGAAGATGATGGAGCAGCCACTGCTGCTGCTGTATCCACTGCTGCTGC